CAATTCTGAAATGACTGAACTTGCAGGAAAATATTAAATTATTAAATTACAGGACCAAAAGGCGAAATGTTAGAATCTTAAAACTAAAATTTGCTATGACGTCAAACTAACCAAGACTAAATATGCCAATTTGCCTTTTATTTTATCTGAAAATGATCGATTTTTTCGACATGCAGGGTCCCGTGCGTGAAGAAAGGAGGGATTAGGTTTACGATGAACGGTCACCCGTATTTCAACTTGGTCCTCGTAACGAATGTAGGTGGGGCCGGTGACATACACAGCGTGTGGATTAAGGGTTCGAGCACCTGGCAGCCCATGACCCGAAACTGGGGGCAAAATTGGCAGAGCCACTCGTATCTCAACGGTCAGACTCTCTCGTTCAGAGTCACCGCTAGCGATGGCCAAACCCTGACAGCCAACCGTGTCGCACCCAACAACTGGCAGTTCGGAAAAACCTACGAGGGTCCACAATTTTAGTTTCAGACATATTGACTCAAGCAGCCAGGCAATATATGTATTTTGTGGACTACTTGTTTAATTGCAATAAACCTGTCCGTTATGTTATGTTACTTGTCATGTTACAAGTCCACACATCATCATAAGTCTAAAAGAATATAGATTTATTTACTGCATTATTCAAAATCACCAAACACCATCTCAGTATTTCAATCACAACAAAAGAAGAGGGTAAAATAGTAAAATCAGTAATTGAGCAAAGAATACTTCACCCTCACCACAATCCTCCCTTTCTCCACGCCGAGCTTACCTCCCGTGATCAACCAGTGGCCAGGCGGGTCCTCCGGGCCCTTGCTAACTTCCGACATGTCGACGAACAACTGATTTTGAACAAACGGTCTGATTTTTTTGATTCGTGACTCAGCTTCAAAGCTTGTGAGCTGAATTTGAAGGTTATTTATTATTTATTGACAATTGATTTTGAGATTGGAATTCAGCAAATCTCGCGTATTAAGACATCGATAGGGTTCGACATTTGATCAATCGAGCGTGGAGTTATTTTTAATGAGTCAGACAGATAAGTTTAAACCCGACAGATTTGTTAATATTATGATCAAAGTTGAACTCACGCCTTAACGAGCTATTAAAAATTACATAAGGAATTTTTATGTTCGAGTCATAACGAATCTAACTCACGGACGGCTAATTTCGTTTATAGCTCTAAGACATTA